GCTTCGGATTCGAACGTGAGGCGCAAACCCCATAGGGGGGAGGCTCCCGCCCGGGACTTCCTCGCGATCCATTCACAGACGAGGCTGCCGACTGAGATTTCCTCAATATTCAAGCGTGGGGAGCCCAAACATGACGACAGATACAGGTTGCCGATGACCCGCCTCGGATTTGAACATATAGTGCGAGCCCCATAGGGAAAGACTTCCGCCGGAGACTTCCTCGCAATTCACTCACAGACGAGGCTCCCACCTGATACGTCCTCCAAAATCACCCCCTCAGGAGCCCAAAAGTGAACAGTTCCACGGTTTGGACAAACCGCTCGGATTAGTAACATAACGTGCGGGCCCCATAGGGAGGAGGATCCCGCCTGAGACTTCCTCGCAATTCATCCACAGACGAGGCTCCCGCGTGAGACTTCCTCCATATCCAGGCCTCAGCACCCCAAAAGTGACGACAGTTACAGTGTTTCGATGACCCGTTCGGATGCAGATGAAGTGCAGGCCCCATAGGGAGAGGGTTTACGCCTGAGACATTCAGGCCTCAGCACCCCAAAAGTGACGACAGTTACAGGGTTCCGATGCCCCTCTGGGATTAAAAACATGAGGTGTGGGCCCCATGAAGAGACGAGAATAATCTATTGACACAACGTGCTATTGATACGTTCCGGAGATTCCGGGATTTCTAACAGCCTTCGCGGGGGGTACACTTTGCGTCGAGTATTGTCTACTCTGGCTTGCGGCGCTGGTCGGTCACCCATTCTCCATCGAATGGTCGCCCGTAAGGAGCTATTCTGCAGTTGCTGACCCCCCTTCTCGCTGCCGAGCGCGGGGGGGACGGTGGCGCACCGCCCCGTCGCCCGCCGCCGCGCACCGCGCGCCTCGGCGGATTTCCAATGACCTGGCAAAGCAAATCATGCGCGACTCTGGAAAAATCCCCGGGGGTGAAGATGAACAAATCCGGGAACGTTTTTGAACATGTCCGGCCTACTTTTTGAAAAATACCAGAATCGTTTTTGAAAATTTCCGGGGTCGGTTTTGAAAAATTCCAAAATCCATTTTGAAAAATTCCAGATTTCAGAATTCTTCAGATGTCCTGCGCGGCGGGCGCATTCCACCCCTCAGAACTGTTTTTTGAAAATTTCCGGGCTCCTTTTTGAAAAATTCCGGAACCGCTTGCGCAAAAAAATGCGGAAGCGTTTTCTGACGCATTCTGCAATCCAGAAATAATGTCCAGGCGGTCTGACGGGCGAGGCCGGCTGATTCACGCGCCGCGCCGCGCGCGATTGGGCGCAGCGCGCGCCGCGCGTTGCGCCCGCGAACAGCACTCGAAGGGGCTACCTCGAAAACAGCGCCATGGCAGCTGCGACTCGCGGACTCCCCAAGAGCAACACAGCATGCAGCTCGGAATCTTCGAGGGCGCTCCGATGCGCGAAACATGCACCGCAAACATCGCGCAAAGAACCTGCGCGACGGAATGCGCTCGACCTTTCGTCCCTGGAGCCCGCGCAGAAGAACAGGAAAACCTGGAAATCTGGAAAACTATCAATATCAATACTTCATGCTCCTCTAGTCCTCGCAATTCACTCACAGACGAGGCTCCGGCCTGATATTTCCCCCATAATCAGGTCTCAGGAGCCCAAGAGCGACGACAGTTACAGGATCCCGATGACCCGCTCGGATTATACAGATGAGGTGCGGGCCCCATAATGAGAGGGGTTCCCGCTTGAGACGTCCCCGCAATTCACTCGCACACGAGGCTCCCGCTCGAGACGCCCCCCATATTCAAGCTAGGGAGTGAGTGGTAACGAAGTGATGAGTGAGCGAGTGGTGATGAGGATGATGCTGATGATGATGATGAGTGGTGATGATGGTGATGATGATGATGATGATGATGAGGAGTGACCGAATGATGATGATATTGATAAGGATAAGGATAAGGATAAGGATAATGATAAGGATGATGATGATGATGATGATGATGATGATGATGATGATGATGATTGATCGAACGATGAAGATGTTGTTGATAATGAGGATGATAATGGTGTGAGTGTAAATGATTGTGATGATGATGGTTACGATGATGAGGATATGATGAGTAGTGGCGATGAGAGGTGATGAGTGATGAGTGATGATAATGATGATGATGATGATGATGATGATGATGATGATGATGATGATGATGATGATGATGATGATGATGATGATGATGATGATGATGATGATGATGATGATGATGATGTGATGATGATGATGGTGGGAGGTGAGGTGAGGTTTCTGCGCGAGATGTCCAGAGAAAACAAGAAACCCCACATCGGATGTGGGAAAACAACGAAATGGTGCGGCTCTACGGCGAGAGCCACATTAAAAAAACCACCCGCCCTCCATTTGTGAAACTGTTCTAATATTTCAGATTCAGGGTCACAAGTGGTGAGGAAGTCTTAGACGAAACGCCCGGCCCGCCCTAAACATTGGCCTCGGGGTGCGACAGCGATGCATTCTTAATAAGCAAAAGGAAAGGAGGAGGAGGAGGAGGAGGAGGAGGAGGAGGAGGAGGAGGAGGAGGAGGAGGAGGGGGATGATGATGATGATGATGATGATGATGATGATGATGATGATGATGATGATGATGATGATGATGATGATGATGATGATGATGATGATGATGATGATGATGATGATGAATGAGGATGAGGATGAGGATGAGGATGAGATAAGGATGAGGAGAGGAAGGATGATGATGAGGATGAGGACGAGGATGAGGATGAGATGATGATGCTGATGCTGATGCTGCTGATGCTGATGCTGATGCTGCTGATGCTGATGCTGCTGATGTGATGATGATGATGATGAGGATGATGAGGATATGATGATGATGAATGATGATGATGATGATGATGATGATGATGATGATGATGATGATGAGATGATGATGATGATGATGATGATGATGATGATGATGATGATGAGATGATGATGATGTGAGGAGGGAGGAGGAGGAGAGGAGGAGGGAGAGGAGGAGAGGAGGAGGAGGACGGAGGCGGAGGAGGAGGCGGAGGCGGAGGCGAGGCGAGGAGGAGGAGGGAGGAGGAGGCGGAGGCGAGGCGGAGAGGAGGAGGAGGAGAGGAGGAGGCGAGGAGGAGAGAGGAGAGGGGAGGAGGAGAGAGGAGGAGGATCAGGAGGAGGAGGAGGAGGAGCAGGAGGAGGAGGAGGAGGAGGTGGGCACCCCTGTGGCAACCCAACAAGGGGAGGCGGATCTAGCAGCCTCTGGCCACTCCCGCCGCCATGTCTCGGAGGCCTCCGGCGTCCTTCCGTGGTAGCCTCTGGTGCACCATGGAACTTCTCAGAAGGGGTCCAGGGATCCTGGCAAATCAGGGGTTCAGGCCGTGCTTGGAACCCAAAATTCCACCTCCTCCTCCGCCTCCTCCGCCTCCTCCTCCTCCTCCGCGTCCTCCTCCTCCTGCTCCTCCTCCTCCTCCTCTTCGTTACTTATTCGGGTGTGGTCAGAGGTGGTCCTGGCCGGTGGTGTGCCAACTTGACTGGGGACGTATCGGTGATGGCCTTCGGGGCACCCCTCACGAGGCCCAAACGGGGCCAGGGGCTCCGAGATGGCTAGGGACGCCTCGGGTCAGGAACGCCTCCTGGAACCCTCCAGACTGAACTCGAGGGAAGCTCACGATTACCATGACCGATGATGTCGCGGGATCTTGTCGACACCGATTTTGGTTATCAGGGTCCATGCCAGTCGTCGCCAATTCGCGAGGATGATCCACGAGTCGACGGTTACCAAAGTGGAGGGTGACCAAGATCGTCACTCGGCACCGACGTCTCCGCGTTAAGTCTGGGCCATGGTCCTCGTTTGTTCTTCCCTCCACGAGCGAGCATCGGGGCGTTCCGCTGGCGTGCCTGGTCTGCGACCACCTGCGAACCCTAAGTACCCCTACCCGGTTCCAGTGGACGCCAGGGTTCAGGACACCCCCGCTGGGGCTCAGCTGGCTGCAGATATCCTTCAGATCAGAAGTCAGACCTGCCAGAGTAGGCTTCGCACGCGAGCGACGCAGAAAAGCAGGTTCGCGCTTGTGCCGACATTCGCGCGTAAGCTGTCCGGGTAAGGTCGCGCGTCAGCGCCTTCTTTTCCAATGCAGGGGTGGACCTAAACGGTGTTTTTGGCGATTCCGTGGGCCGTATTCGTTTCGAATTCGTTCTGCAGCAAAGGCGGACTGAAGACGAAACGAGGGAAAGCGAAAGCAAAGCGAAACCGAAAAACACTGTTTAGGTTCGTCCCCGTTCCAACGCGGCATGCCACAGCGGTGGCCCGCATAAACCACCTCTGAAGCTCGCCATGCTATCTCGCGTGGGATCTTCGGAGGCGGGCGAAGGGGGAAGTGAGAAGGGGCGGGCCTTCTGAGGAGACTCGGAAGTTCCCGGGCCTTCCGAGACGTTTTCTGAGCCTTCCCCGAAGACGCAAACAACTCCTCAGAAGGCGCGAGGGCTTCCGAGACGTCCCGCCGCCTTCTGAGAAGGTCTTCTCCTCGCTTCCCCCCCAGGAGGAGGAGGAGGAGGAGGAGGAGGAGGAGGAGGAGGAGGAGGAGGAGGAGGAGGAGGAGGAGGAGGAGGAGGAGGAGGAGGATCTGTTTCTCCTCGTCGCTCATGCGGCTGCCTGGCCCTGGGCCAGGAAGGCCTCCTGGCAGCCCTCGACCTGTGCACGAGCCTCGGGGCGCTCCGCATGTTGCGCGCCCCGGGGGCACGGCGGCGGATCAGTGCATGGGGCTGCTCATCGCCGGTGTCTTCACCGCCATTTGAAGAAGAAAAGACGCCATAAACATAAACTTTTGGCGCTCCGCGCGGATTTCTAGGATCCACGCTGGGCCCCCCGGCGGCGCCTCCGGCGCCGCCCCTGGCGCGCTCCGCGCGCCAGGGAGGGGGGTCCAGCGCAGATCCAAGAAGTCCGCGCGGAGCGCCAACAGTTTGTGCTTGTGGCGTTCTTTCTTCTCCTGGCCATGCTCCTGAACGACTGGGGGGCGCCCGCGGGGAGCAGCCCGGCCTTCTACGTCCACGCTGAGGGCCTGGCCTCGGGCGTGGTCTACCAGGTGGCGAACGTGATCGCCACGCAGGCGGTGAAGAAGGTCGGCATCGGCGTGTATCCGCGGCGCTTCGCGGCACCCCTCGAGGAACAGCAAGACCGGCGCGAGCATCATCTCTCGGAGCTCTGCGCGGCTTTCTCGGATCGGCGCTGGGGCCCCGCTCGCCCCTTGCGCGCTCCGCGCGCCGTGGGGGGGGACCGGTGCCGATCCGAGAAATCTGCGCGGGCCTCCGAGTTTTTACGTTGAAGTCGGGCGTGTTCATCTACAGGAGGAATATGCAAAAACAGACAGGCAATCGTGCGGGGAGGATTTTTTGACCATTTTGACTATTTCTGGGTACTTTTGGATTCTGACGTTTCGTCCCAAATCCCCCTGTAGGAGGACACGCCCGACCTACTTTTTCGTTCGTGGCATCGTTTGGTTCTCTGGATGAGGAGAGAGAACGCCGGCAAGCAGCAGAAGCGCGGACCTCCGAGAAGTTTCCTTTGGGTCTCTCTAACAAGCCTCGTCCTGGCAGGCCAGGGTTTCACGGAGCAGCCGAGGTTGTCTGGGCCCTCGTGGACCGACGAGTGGCGGCATGGAGGCCGTCCTTGGGCCCGTTGGGTTATTTAGGGCGCTGTTAGACTGCTTCTGGGCCTTGGCACATGCTTGGTGGTGTCCCCATTGGCGCATTGTGGCAACCTTGAGCGGCCTGGACGCTGAGGCGCGTTCTCCGAAGTTATGGATCCTTCGCGCTGCTGGTCCTGCAAGTAAAGAGTTGAAGAGGGACTGGAATGTGAAGATAAGACACATGAAAGTACAGGCAGCACGAGGAAGAGGAAGTCGACAGGAAACAGGACTTTCGAACCCGAAGGCTTTGTGGGATACGTTTGTATTCGGGGGATTCTGTAAGTTTCTGTCAGGAGGGGGCGGAGGCAGAAGATCTAGGGGACTCTCGGGGCTTCCAGGACATCGCCACACCTGTTGTACGATGTTCGGGGCCATCTTGGAGTATGTATCGATGCACCTTCCCGAGCGATCTCGGTCAGATCTTAGGGCCTCTGAGGGCCACCTTCAGCCCATCCTGAGAAATCTCGGGGACAATGGAGTGAGGTTGAAGCTACCTGAAGTTCAAGCCAGGCGACAATCAAATCCTTGAACCCACATGTTGTGTCTGGGGGCGTCTTGGGACCTTGGGGGCATGTTGCGATCATCTTGGTCTGTTTTTGGCTCTGTGAGCCCTATTCAGGGCCTCTGGGAACCTTTCCAGAGGCCTGTTGGGTCCTCTTGGCCGTTTGGTGGCGTCCGCGGTGGAATCCTGATGCAGCCATGGCGCAGGCAGCAATCTCCAGGTGGCGTCTTTCAGCGTCAGGGGCCCCCAGAGAGAGAGCGCAGAGAGGAAGGGCAGAAGAGGAGACGTGGCGGGACAGATAAGATCATGTATACACCAGCGGGACAGCAGTCCAGCAAGCAGCTCCACGGCCTGCTGTCTCCAGACAGGCTCGGCGGATTACACCGTGCACGAGGTCAGCAACGTCGGTGCGACCCTGTTGATAGGCTTCGTGGGGCCCGAGCTTGGGCTGCCAGTGAAGGTGCCTTCAAACATATCTCTCGCAATTTTTGGCGCCTTCCTCACGGGCCTCGGCATGATCCCAACGATGCTGATGACCGACGCGCCCGAAGAGAAGCCCGCGGAGATCAAGCAGAAGCTGCTCGTGGCCTCGGCCGCCGGGCAGGCCTCGGGTCAGTCGGGCAGGAGGTCCCTGAGAAACGTGGACTTCGGCGCCGCGGACGAGGCGTCCATGCTGGAGGCAAACGCGCACAGCTGGGACATGTTTCAGGTCAACGCCCACACCTGGGACGGGAGCACCGTTCCGCCGCGCATGCGGACGACCCTCAAGCAGTTCCAGCACACGACGGGAGGACTGCCCACGACGCCGGCGTTCCTTGAGGAGGACGAGGAGGAGCAGGAGGAATCGCTGCAAGAGGGCTGGGGTCGCAAGGTCAGCAACGAGAATACCAAGAAGGACAAGGTGGTCGGTCTAGTGCTTTCTCTGATTGCCGGCGCACTGTTTGGAATCATGTTTGCGCCTATGCCCTACTGGCAGGCCCGGATGAGCAGAGCGGGCGTCAGCGCACGCCCTGCCGACTTTGTTTTTGCCGTCTGCGTCGGCACGTCTCTGACTTCTACTGCGTGGTTGCTGTTCTGGTCTGCCATCAAGCGCTTCCAGAACAGGGCGTTGGAAAAGAGCGTGTTGCGCCCCGCGCTCTTCGCGGGCGCAATTTATTATTATGCGCTTCTACTTGAGTTCTCGGCCATGGCCCTGCTGCCCTACGCGGTTGCGTACGTCGCCTGCACGGGCTTCGCTCTTGCGGTCAGCATGGGCTGGGGGATGTTCTGCTTCGGAGAAATGACGGGAAGCCACAATAGGCTGATGGCTGCCCTGTCCTTCCTGGGTGTTATCTTGGGCGCCGTTGTGCTTGCGGCAGCTGCTTGATGCAGCCAGGGTTGGCGGCAGTGCGTGCGTGTCGGGAGGACGGACTGGCTTTGCGCCCTCACGCCCTGAGTCGACCAAAAAACAGACGACACCACCCCACCACCCTACGGCCCCCCTTTGGGCGCCGTGGCGTGTACCGCGCAAGAACTGACGTCAGATCTCCTGGTAGACGCTGAGCCCCGTGGGGCCGTAGGTGGGGTGGTGTCGTTGGTTTTCTAGTCCATTTAGTTATGGGAATGAATAATGACATAAACTCGGAGGTCCGCGCGGATTTCTCGGATCGGCGTTCGACCCCCCTCCCTGGCGCGCGGAGCGCGCCAGGGGCGGCGCCGGAGGCGCCGCCAGGGGGCCCCAGCGCCAATCCGAGAAATCCGCGCGGACCTCCGAGCTTTTATGTTTACGTCATTGTTCGTTCCCCTCACTACGTTTAAGTCGGGCCTGTCACTCTACAGGGGGAATATTCAAAAATAATCTAAAAATAGTCTGGGGACTATTTTTTAAGTATTGTTGAGCATCTTTTGAATATTTGAATGAGCGTGTTCTACCGTTGCCGGCGGAAAACCAGGGGGGGGTCACTGGGGGCTCCCAACCCGTCCCCCCCCCACCCCCCCTCGAAAACCGGAGGGGGGGGTCATTACCGTTTCGAACCCCTCCCCCCCCCAGTCCATCATGAAAAGGGGGGGGGGAGGGGGGGGGGGTCACTACGGGTTCGAACACCCCCCCTCGAAAACCGGGGGGTCACTACCAGTTCGACCCCCCCCCCTCGTCGCCGGCAAACGATTCCCGCTCCTCGGGACAGTTGGACAATGGTGGGGATTCTGGGACGGAGGGAACGGTGGTGGTGGGGACAGTGGTGCGGGGACAGTGGGACAGTGGTGCGGACAGTGGTGGGGGACGGTGGTGGTGGGGACAGTGGTGAGTGGACAGCGGGACAGTGGTGGGGACAGTGGGACAGTGGTGGGGACGGTAGTGGTGGGGACAGTGGTGAAGGCGGTGGTGAGGACAGTGGTGGGACAGTAGTACAGTTGGGAAAGTGGCGGGGACAGTGGAAACAGTGGGACAGTGATAGAGACAGTGGGGACGGTGGGACAGCACAGTGGGACAGCGGCGGGGACAGTGGGACAGTGGTGGGCACAGTGGGGACAGTGGGACAGTGGTGGGGACTGTGGGGACAGTAGGGAGAGTGGGACCGTGGTGGGACAATGGTGGGGAGAGTGGGGTCAGTGAGACACTGGTGGGGGCACTGGTGGGGACAGCGGGGACAATGGTAGGAACAGTGGGCACAGTGGGACAGTGGTGGGGACGATGGTGGTGGGGACAGTGGTGTTGGGACAGTGGGGATGTGGTGGAAACAGTGGGACAGTGGAGGGTACAGCGGTGGTGGGGACAGTGGTGAGGGTGGTGGCGAGGACGGCAGTGGGACACTGGGACAGAGGTACAGTGGGGACAGTGGTGGGGACAGTTGGGACAGTGGTGGGAACAGTGGGACAGCTCAGCGGGACAGCGGCGGGGACCCCGGGACAGTTGGGACAGTGGGACAGTGGTTGGGGTTGTGGAGCAAGTGGGGAGAGTGGAACCGTGGTGGGAACAGTTGTGGGTGCGACAGTGGTGGGGGCACTGGTGGGGACAGTGGGGACGGTGGTGGGAACAGCGGGGACAGTGGTGGTGAGGACAGTGGTGCTGGGGACAGCAGTGGGGCACGTGGTGCGGACGGTGGTAAAGGACCCGGGAGTCGTTTGCTGGCGGTGGGCGGTGAGCGTGGGGTGTGGGGGGGTCGGGGTTCGAACTGGTAGTGATCCCCCCCGGTTTTCTGGAGGGGGGGGAGGGGTTTCGAACCCGTAGTAAGCACCCCCGGTTTCCGGAGGGGGGGGGGTTCGAACCGGTAGTGATCCCCCCCGGGCCCGGTTTTCGAAGTGGGTGGGGGGGTCGAACGGCAGTGATCCCCCGCCAGTTTTCCGGTGGAGGGGGGAAGGGTTCGAACCGGTAGTGACCCTCCCTGGTTTTCTGGGGGAGGGGGAGGGTTTCGAAACCGTTAGTGCCCCCCACGGTTTTAGGAGGGGGGGGGTCGAACCCGTAGTGACCCCCCCCGGTTTTCCAGATGGGGGGGGGAGGGAGGGGGGGAGTTTGTGGGGGAGGAGGGGGGGGGGACCAGCAGGGGGGGGATTTTGGAGGGGGGGGGGGGGGAGGACTCGGGTTCCGGAGGAAGGGGGGGGGGGAATTTTCCACAGTAAAGCGGCGGTGGATCACGCTCTCTCAAATATTTTTCGGGTCTTTTATTTATTTTGGCCAGAATCCCCCTGTCGAGGGACAGGCCCGACCTAAAACGACGTGGACGGGCCGAGACGTTCGAAGAGCCGCGCTGGAGAGGTGCTGCTGCTGCTGCTGCGAGGCCCGGCTGGCCGAGAGTATCTCCTCCGGACGCCGCGCGCCGCAGCGGCTCCACCGCTGCGGGGCCCGTGGGCACTGCTGCTCCAGGGCCAGCACGTGCACCAGTCCGAGGAATAATAGGTAGGGGGCCACGTGCGAACCCTACCCCTATACCCTCCACGATCTCTGAGGGGGAGGGTGGGGCTTACGCTTCGCCCGGGAGAGCTCCCGAGCGACGTGCACCCCCCCCCTCCCCCCCTCAGAAGTCGTGGGGGGTAGGGGTAGGGTTCGCACGTGGCCCCCTAATATAATAGCCAAAGCAGCACACAGTGGGGGCCCATGTGCTCGTTTTCCGATTCCGTGCTCTGCCACTCGGCGCTGGGCCCGCGCCCCCCCCCCCCTGGAGCAGCTCTTGGCTGTCTTCGGCGCCCGTTCCGAGCGGGTGGAGTCTCCTTTTGGGGCGCACTGCTCTAGACAGTCGCACTGAGCAGAGGTCCGGAGCCAGACACCCCCCCCCTCCCCGCCCCCCCCCTTTCCGCCCAATGTCGAAACGCCGAATAGGAAAACGTTCGCGCCACGAAACATCCTGCCTGCCTCCAGGGTGCCCTGGGTTTCTTGGGCTTCGATGGTGTTGCTGTGACAAGCGCGTCGTCCCCACGCCAAAGAAACCAATTGACACCCTGGGGTCTCAGGGTGGGGTTTCTCGTGGAAGGTTCCTTGTGGACTGACCTCCACTGTAAATGTACACTTTCGGAGGTCCGCGCGGATCTCTTGGATCGGCGCCAGGCCCTCGCCGGCGGCGTCTCCAGCGCCGATCCAAAAGATCCGCGCGGACCTCCGAAATGTTACGTTGACGTCGGGCCTGTCCCTCGACAGGAGGAATAAGCAAAAACAGTCAAAGAAGAATAGTCTGGGGACGATGCTGTAAGTATTTGTTGTCCATTTTAGAGCATTGTTTAGGTACTTTTTCTTTTCCCTTCAAAAGCTGCCTGCAGGAGGACATTACGTTTGTGCGGTTTCTGCGGGCTTCTTGAAGGCGCTGGGTCGGCCGCCCCACTGGTTCGCGGTGGTCGTCGTCTTGGCACTGCTCGGGCGTGTTCGATTTTCTCCGCGAGGCCGGCGCCAGAAGGTCTGGACGAGCTCGGAGCATTGGGGACAATTTGGGTCAAAATCACGTGCACACGGAACGAAGCAGTGTACAACCACGGCGCCGAAACAGGGACCGTTTCGGGTGCGGAAGGGGCTCTCTATTCCTCGGGTCATTCCGTGGTTGTGTTCCTTTAGGTTTCCTAGTGCACCCAGGATGCCTTGGTGCCACAACGGGGTTTCCTTCCATATTGTAGTGGCCTCCGGCCAGTGCCGCCGATCTGGGGCGCTCCTGATGCTATTGTTGTTGAAATGGACGATGACGACGACAACGGACGACCAACGGTCGACGAGCGGGATGATCACGACGACGACCGACGAAGGAGTTCATGACGACGAACCGACGACGACGACGACGACGACGACGACGACGACGACGACGACGACGACGACGACGACGACGACGACGACGACGACGACGACGACGACGACGACGACGACGACGACGACGACGACGACGACGACGACTGACGGCGAACGGCTGCCGACGGCCGCTGACGACTGGTGACGGCGACTTGTGGAAGGTTCTTCGTTCATCGCTTGCGCTTCCGAGCAATACCAAGTCAGGCCGTGCACCTCTGGCCTGGCAGCACGCGAGTGAGCGCCTCTTGGGGCCTCTTGGTTCTTGGGGCTTCTTGGGGGCCTTTGGGGCCTCTTGGCTCTTGGGGGCCTCTCGGGGTCCTCTTGGGGGCCTCTTGGGGACCTCTTGGGGTCCTCTGGGGGCCCCTTGGGGGCGCCTCGGGGGCATCTTGGGGGCTCTTGGGGTCATCTTGGGGTGGAGGACTAGAAGGGTTCGTTCGGGTTCACCCTCTTGAGGCCATCTTGGGGGCCTCTCGGGGTCGTCTTGGGGGCCTCCAGGGCTATATTGGGGCCCTCTTAGACCGTCTTGGCTCCTCTTGGGGGCCTCTTGGGCTGTCTTGGGGCGATCTTGGGGGCCTGTTGGACCGTCTTCGGCGCTTCTAAGACGGAACAGGCGATAATGTTAAAATGTTTCAAAACCTATTAGCAACTTTATTATTGAACCTTCTTGGAGCCCTCTTGGGGGTCCTCTTGGGATCTCCTTGAGGCGTCTTGGAGGCCTCTTGGGCCGTCTTCAGGCCATCTTGGGCGCCCAGGAGCGCTCTTGGGCCGTTTCGGGCGCCTCCTGGACCGCCTTGGTGGCCTCCTGGGCCCCTTTTGGCCCGTCTTGGGGCGGTTTGGGATTCCCGGGGGGGGGGGAAAGAAAGGGCGGACCCGATGAACCCCAATGAACCCCACCACCCGAACCCACCCCCCTCCCCCCCCTACCCCGGCAGAGCCCCCCGGCTCCCCCCAGCAGAGCTGAAGCACAGGTTGTAGCTTTCGTAAACTCACACGCTGGATCGGCGGATTTAGCGTTCCTTCTCTCAACAGCCCGACTGTACGGGGAAGGGGCGTCAGAGCGATGGCAAGTCTCCTTCTCGCGCGAGGGGCCCGGCTGCGAGCACGAGGGGAGAGAATCGAGGCAC